ACCGTGGAGTTACTGGTGTTAACATCCTCCTAGGCATCTCCGTTAAGAGTGATTTCGTTGGCACGTGTTGTGTTGTATCGTACAATCTTGCTTCTCTCTTTATGTATGTTGAGACCTGCTGCTGTTGAGGCTGCTGCTACACTGGTTGTCTTCTTTTGCATTTGTTGTTGTATGTGTGATAGAAGAGCCAGATCATCTGCGCAGTCCAGATCGTCCAGCTGCATCCTAGCTGTCCATTAGATACCATGCTTTCCCCCAGATGTTGACGTCTTCGTAATCCAGTCGATCATCAGGAAAAGGAAAAAGGGTGAGAGTAAGCAACCTTGCCTGGCACCGGTTCTCACCTCGAACGAGTCTGTCAGCTGTCCTGCATGAATGATTTTGCAGTTTAATCCATCGTAAAAATTCCGTATGATGTTAACTATCTTCCTAGGCACGCCATAGTGTCGAAGAAGCCCCCATAGTGTTGTCCTGTCCATGCTACCAAATGTTTTTTCGTAGTCAATGAAGTTGATGTAGAGTGGTGAATTCCACTCAACTGATTGTTCAACAATGATCCGTAAAGTTGCAATTTGGTCAGTACACGATCGATCCTTACGATTTGTAATACACTGCAATTTAATAAAAGTAACCTATCATGTGTGTTGTTACCAAAATGAAATGGCTACAACATGATTTGATTGATATAAGAGGAACTGACAGACAACATTTGAAGGATGATAATCGAGTGTCTTATATAATTTTCAACAGAGTGATTTATGTTAAGTAATCATTGAAAATTAAGAAGCCTTAGAAAGCTACTTTATTCTAGCATGGGACGGCATTGGGCTCTAAATTTTTCTTATTTTCAAACTTTTTATTGATAAACAACAATTTCGAATTTGTATGTGGATTGTGTTCGCTGTAATGTGATGATGATACGTCAAGTTAGGACGATGACAAGATGTGTACTCATTTAACATAACGATTAGATTGTTTTAGACTTGATTTTATAAACATTTTGAATTTACCATTTTCTTCTTTTATGTGATTATGATGTGAAAGTGAAATAAACGAGATTGTAAATCATCTGTAACCAATTGCCGTTGACATCATGAAGTTAGTTCATTTAATAAACGAACCTATAGCCCAACACAGTGTCTTAAGTTAATTTACTTCGAACAATTTGATGTGACTTCACATTGATCGATTTCTGTAGTCGAATCCAAAACAGAAGACTTATCTTTCAGGTGAGAAAAGTAACACGTTAGGCCAGTGAGACAGATAAGGCAAATGAAAAATACGGACTGCTGACAGAGACACAGTATTTGTCAAGATTCAACTTCATTTTTTAAGTAAAGAAACTCTATCGGTTAAAAATGTTGTTCAATGTTGTAATGGAGGAAGATGTATATTTATGACTGAGCTGTGCGAATTCTTTCAATTTGCTTAGCAAATAAAGGACTAATACTCATTCTTAGCTTTCTTATTTAAGCATCTGTTTTCAGGTCACATGAAGATAGTAGCACTCTGACGACTGCACAACATAACGCGATCCATAAAAAAAAGAGCAGAATAAATGTAAATAAATACATAAGAGATTGACGGTCGCAAATTGCATCGAGGTTCAGCACTGGGTATTTTCAATTTCTGAGTTAATTACATACCTAACATGCCCATGCATACATTTGTAATCTATTCTTATTGATTCTTTCAGTTGTACATTTTGTTAGTCCGTTCGATTCCGTTTTAAGAAGATAATATTTGTATTTTTGATTATAGTTTCTATCTCTTTTGCCTTCACTGAGTCTTTATGTTTCTTTCTGAACTGCATTTTTGTTGTTTCAGCTGATACTTAGTCATGGCGACAGCCATACCGATTTATTCCTCTTTTGATTGAGTTGTTCGTATTGACTGGAATAGTACATTTTAGTTGTGAATTGAAGCACTTTTTCATAATAAGAAGCTCTCTGTGTTATAAAACAACCAAATATTATCTTCCGAACAAATCTGATCTATCCAGAAAGGGGATAATAAGATTTATTTGTTGCTGCTGATTTGATTAATTGTACAATTGTTGGTGGAATAACTGATTGGTAATATTTGTTTAGGTAATGCTGTATGTTTATATTTATGATGAATATTAAAACTGTTATCTACCCAAATCACTTGTTTTGGATATAAACTGTGCAAGACGCGTATCTAACCTACCTAGATAGTTATTCCTCAAGTCCAAATCTCAGTTTAGATCCTACATGACTTGTTGACTGAATAGTATTTATTCATACTATATTATTTAATAAAAGTAATACGTGAATGAAATAATTTAATTGAATATAAAACTATTTATATACTTTGTAAAATGTTCAAGGTATGTCAACATTCATAGACAACAATAAGAAGACATAATCAATTCAATGAGAAACAAAAAAAACACATAAAAAAAGCTAACCTTCAGCAATTCTATATTTCACTGGAAGATCAATTGGTGTTGCAACTACTGACTTGGTTAGAACAATAACATTTTCAAATCCAATTAGAACAACTAAATAAGGGAAAACTTCACTAAAAAGAAGTAGAAGAAGGCAACATACAGAATACACTTATACATAAAATGAATATAATAAACTATGATTTAGCAAATAGAAATAATTACTTTCCATTTTGTCCATGAATAGTCATTAATAATGATTTTATTAAATGATAAAAATACCTTATCTAATGAAATATATTTTGTGCGTATCAAGTAATAGCTGAGGATAACAAGAATAAGTACAAATTCATATCACATCTTGTTTGCCTAGTGATACCGGTCAGCTGTGGAATAGATTTAAGAAGTGTATAACTCAATGGTTGAAAGATAAATAATTTAATTATTATGCAACTTCTCAATAATATAACTCCGCCTGTAGACCCTTCGGGGCTTGGAGAACTATCAAAGCCATCATCCAGAAAATACAAGTGTTTATTAACAGTTATCTACGCAAAATATTTCGGATTCGTTAGCCAGATACCATCAGCAACAACGTACTGTGGGAGAGAACAAACCAGATTCCAGTGGAGAAGGAAATCAGGAAGAAGTGGTGGAAGTGGATAGGACACACATTACGAAAAGCACCCAACTGCGTCACAAGACAAGCCCTCACATGGAACTCTCAAGGTCAAAGGAAAAGAGGAAGACCAAGGAACACATTACGCCGAGAAATAGAGAAAGATATGAGAAGAATGAACTAAAATTGGACAGAACTGGAAAGGTAAGCCCAGGACAGAGTTGGTTGGAGAAAACTGGTCGGCGGCCTATGCTCCATTGGGAGTAACAGGCGTAAGTAAGTTCTCTATAATATATATTAAAGAATAGTACTAATTATCAAATATAAATCAGAATCTGTATTTGACTCGGAAACAGTTTTAGTTGGTTCAATATTTAACTAATGACATAACTAAAAATTGCTAATTAGACAAGAAATGAAATGAAAAAAAAACTAAACAAGTCGTAATTTTGCTCTTCGTTCCAATATGGAAGTAATTCACCATCGTATCAGTTGTAAATACAATTTATCAAGATATTGGAGACGAAAAATGTTGAGAAAGCATAAATTTAATTGTCAGTGTTGTTGTTACCTAATATTAAAGTATAAAATGTTGAGGCTTTTATTTTATCGACTTTTATCATACTTATATTAACACTAACAATAAGTTCTCGTTGTTCCAAGTACAGAAATCAATATAACTGAGTGAAAAGATGGAAACTGGAAATTACAACCTTTTTGTATTTACAATTAAGTTAATATAACGACAGTCAAATACTATATTATCGAGATTGTTCTGTATTTCTAAAGAATTTTAGTAGAAATTTAGTTAAAACATGTAAAAATTTAAACTAAATCATACCTTCCATTGAGTGTTGGCATAACAAGACCAATAGTTACACATAGACCAATAGACATAAATAATGATGCAGCAACAGTAACACAAGCGCTCAAAGCTAAACCCCATTTTGATTTGACCATTTCCAATTTACCTAAACATTAATTTTGTCAAAATTCATTAGTTAAAACAATGTAATTTGAAACATAGGCTTATAAAGAACGAATTACTCAGTAAATTAGATTTATTCAAGTAAATATCTGACAAACTCCGTCTGGAGCCCTCTCTGGGGCTACTGCCGGTTCCAGGCCGGGGAAAAGGAGGAGGGTTCGGTATGGGGTTGAAGACCCCATCCAGTAGAAAACTAAATCACTAAAAAAACGCTAACCAGATAAATCAATTTAAACCATTTAAACTCTGCCCTGGGAGTTGGAAGATCTTCATTCAAAAGAGTTATGACGTCTCATAATGAAAGCCGAGTTCAATTGGAAGTCACGAGGTTGATGCCCTTTCTGACAACCGGAGCAACCATTTTTTTAGGTACATATGTGGCCCATGCTCTATTGAGAATAACAGGCGTAAGTAAGTAAATATCTGATAGAAGTAATAAATCGATCAAGGTTTTGACGACCTGTTACCAGTATAAAGAGTTTGTCATGCTTAACACTGGGTGAAAAAAATTACGATAAACGGATAAATCTTGAATAGATATGAACTTTGAAGTAGTTTAAATTTGCTATAACAAACTGTCAAGTTTCTTTATTTCGTCTAGTATTCATTTTCTACTGCATTTCATTCTTAAAAACTCCACGTTAATCAAATACTTTTCAAATCAAAACATAACTTGGATAAAGCATAAATGTACTGCAAAGCAAAAAACTACAAGTTTAGGTAACAAGATTTCAGCATATTCTCAAGTCCTAAACAGGAATATTCTAATCTTTACATTTCATCTGCTAACACCAATTACTTGAAAATGGATCAACTAACGTACTCTAACATTATTTTGTCTAAAACATGCTTTAGTTAGGTCTCTGTCTGATCAACAGATACGAATTTACATTGGACTCACTTCATTACATTAGCCAGCAAACCACAATAAAGAGAAAACAAATGCATAATTCATTATACTCAAAAAGGATTTATTAAAACTCTATATGAAAGAGAGAACTCATAATCGTTGTCTACTAATGAAATATCACGATACACTACCACAGTTTGAAGAATATGACTAATCATGAAATGAAAGTTCTGAAAATATTTTACGATATTTTGGGGCAGAGTTTTGGAGGTTTGTGTTTTTACACATTTGAAATCATCAATCAATTATTGTTAGACCACCATTAGAAACCTGGAAGCACTAGACGGCCGTTTCGTCCTGATATGGGACTCATCACCGTTGGATGCCGGCCAACTGGTTCGATGTTTAGGCGTTCGCGCACAATACCGAAGGTTCCGGGTTCGAATCCTGCGAGCTGCAGGAGTCGTGGATGCGCACTGCTGATGAGTCCCATACCAGGACGAAACGGCCGTCCAGTGCTTTCAGGTTTCTAATGGTGGTCTAACAATAATGATTGATTGATAATTTCAAATGTGTAAAAATATTTTACAACTGAAAAGTGAAACTTTGCCCAGCATGTAGTCTGATTATAACAATATCAAAATGTTAAAAACATTTTGGCGAAAAATTTAGCCATTGATGCTTATTCTATTTGAGACTGATATGAAAAGAAGGAGTATTAAAAATCCATGTAGTATGAAACTAAGTAGAATTGATTACGTTTGATATTTATTAGACAAAGAATGAAATACCTTAGAGAGACCCTATCTATTAATTCATAACATTAAGAAATCTCATTCTGAAGCAGTGAGTTTCTTCTACAAACTCAGAGTAGAACAATGAATTGATATTTAGTGAGTCCAAACAATTTAGTTGGTTAACTAACTAACTAACTAGTCTAGTACACTAAATTTTCAACGAAAAGTCAATAACAAATGTATCAAAACAAAACAAACAACTTACGAACAGAAAAATATACATAAAGCAATAGAATGACATAGATAAATAGCAATGGAGCATAATCAGCAAAATATGATCGATCACTGTACCATACAAGAAAAATATGACCAACTGAAGCTGTGCTTGATATAGTATCATTAGATTTTGGAATTTCCATATTCATATTGTTGACTACATTTTCTTTATGAAGATTTTCCATATGATAAATTAAATGATCTCGTAGTTCAGAAAAAAAGCTGGAATTAAAATCAACAAGTAAGTAGAGATATGAATAGACATTGAATAGAAGGAAAATATGTAACAATGTATATATATATATATATATATATATCAAATGAAATAGTATGAGTTGCAATTTTGTGCAAATCGATAAAGGTTTCAATGAAGAAAATATCGATCAAATATAACGTCTATAGATAAAAATAAAAATTGATGAGATAACCTCGTTTTTTTTTGAGTTCATTTTATTCGAAATTATTCATTCTCTTTATATTTTTTATGAATTTCAATACGACTCCGCACCTTTATAGTTTTAAGTTTATTTGTTTCATTTTAAGATGTTCATTTGATAATTTGCTCTTGTGTTGATTCCTATTTACATAGTGAAAACTTGAAACAATGTACACTGAGATCAAGTTTAGAAATAGCTCTCATAGCTGACTAATTTAATTGAGATTAAATGTTTTTAAATTCGTTAGGATGAGAGATTTAGTTTTAGATACAGATAACAACATTATTTACTGATAAAATATACTATTATCATTCAGACAAAAAACATGACATAGAGTTATTTATAAAAAACAACCTATATATCTAAAACGAGAGTTGAATTGCAAGAAGTATGAGCAAGGCAGATTAACAGTATCATTACAATTGACAAAATAAAGATGTTCAAATTTAAATGATGTGGAAATACGTGAATATTTAGATTCCATTTGAAACGGAAGATGATTAATGATATGGACAACTAATCGAATCGGAAAGGATTCGAACAGTAGTCAGCACTAGACACTAACTATTGACATGCAGTCAGTTAGTCAGTTATTGACAACGTAGAACTTCGTTCGTACGTACGTACATTCGTACATTCCGTAACAAATGAATGATTTTAATTTCAACTTTTGACAATCCATGTTTAACACTTTAAGCTGCTGGAAATATTCTATGGGAGACTGTAACATTGTAGTAAGTCATTCCTACTCAGTTATCAGATATTGATTAAAAGATATTCAAATGTGACTATAATCTGAAACATATTGAAACCAAAGCAGTTACTTAAAATAGGTGCATTAGAAGTAGCTTTGAGTCATACGTTCCTATGGAAGACCAGTGATAACATGCAACTGTTACGTTGATGTACGTAAAGTAATATTTGAAAATAAAGAATGATGGTTGGAGCTTTATTACATCAGGCTTTAGTGAATATTCATTTTAATCAATTTTCTAATTGAGAATTCACTAAGAGAATGGAGTACTCCTAGATATAAATGAAATGTTATCAGAACAGAAATACTATTGTTAAACCAGGTTAGGTTTACCAGCCGGACGGCAAATATTGTGTACTATTTGCAAACGTCAAACATAACAATACTCACGAAGGTTTGTATTCCCGAAATACTAAAGTTAATGCATACGTAACAGTTCGTTCTCGACTACACCTAGACAACTTTGATAATCCAGTTGTTTTCCAAGGAAATCCAAATAAAAGATCCAGTAAATTCCCTGAAGCTGCAAGTTTTATACGTGAAAGAACAGAGGGTTGATTGGACTGCATTACACCGAGATGATCATTCAATAAGAAACTAGGAGCTAACATAAGGCATCCAAATGTAGGTAAAACATTTTTTATTGTTTCAGAATTTTCTACTTCATTGACCGCTCTATCCTCAACCTAAAAGGAAAACAATAGAACAAGGTAAAAGAGAGATCATCTTGGTGGCATACATCGTAAACAGAGAAAAATTTTCGTATGTGAGTAAAGGCGCCATGATGTACAATCAGCTTCTGAATTAAAACAAAGGGAGTAAATGATTAACATTAGCGTAGCTCGAATCATGAACGCAAATGCTCCGAAAAAGATATCAATGAGAAAAATAGAACCAACCAAGAAAGAAAATACTTATTTCCAACCAGCGAAGAAAATGCGAAATTGTATACGATCAATTAATAGCTTCAAAATCACTGATAGAGCGGAGAAACTGTGTTTGGACTGACTATGCCATCACTGGTCTGAAATGATTTGGTCACATCGGCACTCGAGTTTGAAGTTAAGCAGCCACATCAAAGGATATGAGAGTCTATTAACCATTACGCATCTGATATCGAAGTTTAAAGATAACTTGAGAGCCAGATCATGTAAGTGAAAGGTTAATCAGTTGGCTTATAAAAAGATGAAAAACAGCATCAAACGGTAACATAAGTTTTGCTTTTGATGGGTTACGTAAGCTTAAACATATTAAAAAGAATAGGAAGCTCGTGTTTTGTCTCAAGATCAAACGATGGGTGAAATTTTTAGAAGCAGACAAGTTGTAGAGGAAATCAACTATTCGCCAGCCAAAGTCTTAATTTCACAAGTTGTTATCCCGGTCAGGTTTTCTAAATGTATAAATGCTCATGACGTGTAAATTATGACTGAGTTTCGGCATTTAAACTTCACTATTTCAGTTTCCTAATTATTATAGTCTTATCTTGTCATTTGTAGGAAGTTTACATCATAACTAAATTGGACTGAGGAACATGACGACCTTAGAATCATGAAATTGAGGTTTGATTAATGAAGCTTAAAATCTGGAAAATGCTTTCAACATTGACGGAAAGAAATGGCATACAGAAAAGTAATTTTAAATGAAGTAGCAAAGACAAATTGATGGCCAGTAAAATTTAGTGAGTAGAAGAAACATATCAGTCAATCAAATAACAGTTTTTTCTATCAATTCTACAAAGCAAAGAAATTAGAAATACTTTGGAAGACTGCTAAGTGCGGAGATTTCGGTGACAGAATTATTCACTTTTATAAAAAGTCTATAATAACAAAAGCTTGCTAAGACAGAAATGTTCGAAGATTTACTAGAAATAACACTAGTGAAACTAAATAAATTAACATTAACCATATTTGAACGAAACAATGCACCATTTTCACAAAATTGCATTATTACTATGATAAATAAAGTAGATATTTAAATATAATGGAATATACCTGAAAGCAAATATCATCAAACGTTTGTCCTCCTGGTGTGCTTTCATCTCCAGAACTTCTGAATTGGTGAACAAGCTCAACCATTTCATTGCTTTGATGAAGTAGGTGAGCAATAGTTTCATGACTAAGATGACACTTTGGAATCTTTGTGAGTATTTTTGAATGCACAATTATTTGAAGCATATAACCAAGACTTTTGTTCTCGTCATCATGCGTCTGTTTTTATAGTGAAACATTAAAACGAACACTACAATAATACGTTCCGAAGCATAGAAAAAAGTGATTTTTTATTGCAGAAAACTTATATTACAACTAATACTACAGAAATTTCATATAAAGCGTTACGAAATGCAATAGTGACTGATCAGAAACACTTTTGAGAACAACGGAGCTAAAGGAATAAAACTCGTATTCCAGACTTGAAATTTATTCACAAACAAAATAGACGTTTACAGAGACTTTGTATGTTGTCATTTTAATAGGAAACCACGTCATCTTTATTATACACAGTTTCCTATTTAGAGGCTAACGACTCCGGGGACATAAAAACGAATTTCGAGGAGTATGAAATCTGACTTAATCTTTAAAAAATACTCTATGATTTTTACCGCCTAGTACGGTTATATTTTAATACAAATGTGGTTTTAGGCAGCCGATGATAGTTCACGAATTAACAATGGGTTCCTACTCTGCTACAGCTGCAGTCCTTGTTTTGTTCAAATCATGTAAGCCCTAACGAACTAATTACACTCAAAAAGTAAAAGTAAAACCTTTATGTACTTTTTTAAACACTGAAATAGACATAAACAGACTTACAAAAACATAACGAGAGTCTTTGAAAGACTGAAATTCGTCATCACGTACCACTGCACGATGAATTGGTACTTCTTTTACAAGTGGGATCTGAGTTAAGGGGTAACTAAATTTATTAACAAAAACTGAAATTACCAAGAGAATATCATAAGGATGCAAACAGTGATGATAACAGGTGCTGGATGGGTAGAAATGAATAGCCCATGATTGTAATACACTCGGGAAATTTGAAGCTTGACTCTTTCCACAAGTGTATCCAACGGCAGAAACCAAGATAGTAACGACATAAATCAGCACGGGAGGCCAGTTTGCAGTTGGATTTGAATCAGGTTTAGAAATATGAAGTTACTGTAACGATACAAGTAAATATCAACAAGAAGTATATCGGATGTATTCAATATGCCTAAAAATAGAATAGGCATGTAATATATAAGGTTATTTTCAATAAAATGTTGATAAGAATCAACCAGTGACAGGGAAATAAAACGCTGAGTGTACTTTACCGAAGAATTAACAAAGTTACGACATCTTCATATAGGCGCCGGATCTCTAGGTCATACAAAAGATATCCAATATATATCCAATTTCTTTTTCACGAGCTAGTATAAACCAATTGGTTTCTTTGCGCTCGATTATTATTCTTTCGGTTCGGTTCCAGGTGTTTGTTGTTGTCCAATTGATGGGGGTCAAGCCACTAGACTGTCTTGTTCTAGTTAGTTGGCATATGATTGTTTGTATGTCTTGAGATTTGAATGAAAACGTTTGTTTCAGGACAGAGCAGCAGCTATCACATTAAGAGATCGGAGATCAGTTAGTCTCAGTGTGGAGAATAATAGGGTAGAAAGTCTAATGCTAATAAGATTTCAGAACTAAGTAAATAAATGGATAATTTTGTTTATTAATAGGCAGTGAAGATTGTGCTAGAGGACTGAAGCGCAAGCAAGTGGCAGTAAACGGAGATAATAGGTGACATAAAGTGAGTTAGTGATCTGAGGAGATGGCAGTAATAACAACTAGTAGGTCTCAACGCATGCATCAGACACAGCCGAACCAATAGGGCGATGATAATCCGTTTCTGCGTACGTGTTTCACAAGATTTTCACTGAGGTTGCTGTGGTCAATTCGGCTTGCAGAGAACTCCAAGTTATGGAAACTCTCAGTGAGGAAAAGTGTTCACGGACATGGGTGTTCGCCCTTTGATGTGCAGTTTTGCGAGTATTATTCGATGTGTTGTGTCGGTGATGCATCACAAATTTACCATGTTGGGATGATTAGGTGTATTTTATCAGATCACCTCTAAATCTCCCCTACCTCAGAGGTAATAATCTCAGATGTTGCAGTCTATCTTAAGTTTTATTCTTCAAACCTATCATCCATTTCGTCCTTCGTCTCTGCACTCGGTTCAAGAGATTTATACCTCTTTTATGGAGAAGGGGTGAGATGTCGTTGCAAACTGCAAGGTGTAGGCATGAACCTGTCTTGAACCGCATTAAGGATAATTCTGGAGTGATAGCACCAAGTTGTCTTCGCATAAAGTGAAGAGTTGTATTTGCCTTGATGCTACTCTAAAGTAAGTAGTGTGAGTTTCCTTTAGTCGGTCAGCAGGGTCCTGGTTCCTAATTGGGCAAAAGATTAGAAATTAGAGACCACATATAATTTTTTAATATTAGGTTACTCTTCAACAAACGGTAACTCATCAAATGTACCTCAGATGCTGTACCATAAAAATTCTCGAATAAGTTGAGTGTGAGATGCAACATTGCGTTAGGTACTGTCTGGATGGTAGGGCTCTATCTTCTGTTATACGTTTTAGGGCTTGTGTCAGCTTGCGGAGGTTTTGCCGTATGCAGCTACCCTTTGTTATGACCTTTTCATGTTTGGAGGTCTGTTTTATCGACTGGATTTACGAAGTAGGAAATGACAAGTTTTCACTTTAAGAATTGTTGTAATTAGAGACCTGGGTATTGCAGATGGGATTTGGTCATACTTGCTATTACTATCAGTCTTGAAACTTAGAGAGACTGTGAGCATACTACATGTTATCGAAGGGTTTAACCTGTTCGTCGTAGTCGAAAGAATCGTGAAAAGGTCGGACGGAGTCCTAGTCATTTTTCTGTTTAGGAGCAAAGATTTATTCTGTCGACCGTCTCCTTCTATGGCTGAAGAATGCCTTGGTCTCTTAGAAATGTTATCTGAGATGAATCCAAGTCTGTTCAGGTCATCTCGTGTAAAAGATTTTGAGGAATAGTTTTTGAATGGCCAGGTCTAACTGGTTGTCTTTTGTCGTATGGAATATATCCAGGTGCATTGTCCTTCGAACAGCCCTGATTAAAATCGTAGGTGTTGCTGTATTCCCTGGTCTCGGTTTGAATTATTGTTTCACTTAAAGATCATCTAGATCTACAAAGTCATTAACAATTTGCATATTCATATCATATTCGTGATCTGCATGTTTAATTTACTTCACTGCGTTAGGAATTATCTTTAGTTGATTGTTCACCGTGATACAACAACGGAATCATGTCGCGTTTCTCTTTCTTAAGTAACGTTGGCAATGTGTTAGATATAGAATAACCTTCATACTTTTATATGGGATTGATGTGCTAATATTTTCATTCAAACCAATAAATTGTTTATCATCATCACAACAGCCAAATTTAGTTAATGAGGAGCATGCCGATTTTCAAGGACTGTCATCATAGTTCGTATCTATGTTATTCCAAAAAGACTAGTCTAATAGAATATTTACCTAAATATCATGAACCCATTGAACGTAGTCTTCTTGCTCACTATCGATCGTCTGCATATTAAACAAAGAAGACGACAGTGGTTGTTACGTCCAATTTTTTGCTCCTTGTTCCTTAGAAGTACGGTGTGTCAATCTATCTGCAATTCACGAACCCAATTCAAAGCAAAACCAAATTCCAAGGTAGGTACGAAAGTTTATTCTTAATTCACAATAATCGACCAAAATGTCGTTCGTTTATTACAAATCGACGACCAATGTCGTTCTAACAACAATAATTATAATAATTACAATTACCTTCAGTTTTATAGGTTCCTGGAACAAAAAACTGTCAACGAACAAACCAAGACAAACAGCAGTCCAAAAATGGCCGAAATAATAACTCAATGCCCAAAAAACACAGTAAAATTAATGATATTTATATAAAGGTTTTAATCAGCCAAATGTCTTCATTCCTCCCGTAACAGTGGTTTTTATTTCCTCAAGGTTATTTTTGACATGGTATCCCCACAATCCAATTTAGTCAAAATAACTACTTTCTTTTGACATAAATTCGGTCTCAGAATTAATAACTACGAATTAAACTAGATAATAATAACATATTTATTATTTCTCAAATAACAGCGTAAACAATGATATTGTTGTTGACTCATACATAGGCAGATCCTGTTTCGAAGCTTGCTAATATCGTTTAGAAACAACATTGTGTTTGACGACAGGAACATACTCATCCTGTTTGTCTGATTGCTGATGTACTTCTGTTGTGAAAAATATGTAGACTATGTGTTATCAGTTCTAATGTTCACCGCAATGTACATCACTCTAGGCAATGGTAACTTGGCCTACCGCAGACAGGTTTTATAGTTTGAGCTACCGTGAAAATAGTCATTTTTAGGAATGGAATACAAACAGAGACAAAGCAAAACCTTGGGAAGTTTTATGATGCCGAAATTGAATAAGGTGCAACTAAGGCGAAGCTGGTTAGAATAATTGTCGAAGTCTGAGACTAGTATTTGGACTGCAAAGGGAATACTCATTTGATCGTTGAAAGCAACCAGAAAAAGGATGACATAAACCACTGTATTATCCTTCAAATGACTCACTAAGGATTACAGGGATCTATCGAACTGAGATAGAGATAAATTAAGATGTTCTTTTTAAAATGACGACCTTTTAATTGTAGACGCTATTGAAAACAAAATGCATTCCGTTTGAGAGAATACACAACAGAATACTAACAGTTATTGGGACGTATTTCCAAAATTTGTTTGTCAGTTGAATGTACACAAACCTTCTACGTCTAAATTCTGTTCTTGAGGTAAAAACGAATTATATCCTCGTGGATTACAACCTAGAATTATGAAAGTCAAAGACGTCTTTCCAGAAATCATAGCTTTTCCATCAGTTACAAGTAATCGATACAAAAGTCTGCTGTAATATAATTATAGCAAAATCTACAATAAACCCTCAACTTTCAAGTCTGCAGAAAGAAACTCCCAGGCCTCAAAACCGAAAGAGCGAGATAGGAAAATGACCAAGAACAAAGTTATAATCAAACAAGTTCAAAGTCTGAAGAAGACGAACATTTGGAAACTTCTCGAAGACATTGAAATTTGTCGTGACTGTTGACAGTTAAATTGTAAGTGATGATGCTGTAATACTACCAACCAACGGAATGCTGGCTCTCTTCACAGAAGAAGTCAGCAGCGTTGATTAGCAGAAGAATCAGCATCATAAGCAGTCAAAACAACATTCAGACAATTATTTAGAGTGCAGTAAACTTCAGGGCTTATAGTGGTACATCTTGGGAAGCGAGTAGTCACATACTATTGACTGCCTTGGAAAAACGCAGTTTCCCCGTTCTCAGTCTCATTTACTTTGTTAATCCAACTTTGCTAGGCATTAGTCTCTGGACCAGACACAAAG